ACCCCCGTAGACTCAGATGTCTGAATATTTGCTTCCCAACTGATAGAACTGTTTGGTAAGGATTAGGAGATGTACATTTGTTGGAGGAGTTGTGTCACTAAGCGCAGGTTTCCAGGTTTCAAAAGACCGGGGCTTGCTTTCTCTCGGCCTCCTGCTTTTGGATCAGGAGGTTAGCTCTCACCTGGTCCTTCTGCAGTGCCTTTCTTGTGCTATTGTCTACTGAGACCATACACCCAGTTAAATCATTTACTTTAGAAGTTTTATTGGCAATGATATACCAAAGCAATCGGAAACTAACTAATACAGTTACTTAATCTTGTAGTATGACTGGTATTTTTCAGATTATAGATGCAGACAGTACAGTCTCAGAGACAGCAACCATCACTGTCAATGTCAGCACCTTCCTCCTACCACCAAGAACCTCATGACCTTCAAGTCATGTCACAAGCTGGCCTTCAATCTCTTATTGCAACTGCTCCCTGCCCTCTCCAAAATGCCATTCAATCCTTTTATGCCTCATGCTCATCAATCCTGAAAGACCACCAATGTCAACAAGGGCCCCCCACTCGGCTCTAAAGTGGCTACCGAACAAAGAAAACACTTCTATCCTCTCTTTATGTCTTGACTTCATTGATTTGTCAAAGGGAAATAAAGCTAGAAGCAGAAGTTCACATACTTTGACAATCAGACCTAGACTGTTTAGAACCTGGTTCCGGTGATTTGTGATGCCTTATACAAACATTTAGGACCTAGCTCCTAATGAAACATGGCACCTTATCCCAGAGACCAGGCTCAAGAAGGACCACTGATGCTGTAAAATTTTTTTACTTGACAAGATAATGAGAAGCCTGTTTAGCTCTCCAGATATAGACTCCACACAAATGGCACAAAAAAAAGATAAGACCAAGTAACTTCTTTTAACTGTTACAAAAAAAAAAAAAAAAAATCCCATCCCCTTTAAAGATCGAGTCTCTACAAATTTATTGCATCTCTGTCTTGAAGAGCATTTTGTTCAATAAATCTTTTTATAACTGTCTTCATTCTGCAAATACTTACGGTCCCAAGCTTTAAGCTTGTAGCCATCATTCCCAGCAACAAGACAACTACGCTTTCCATCACTTAAATGAACTTATACAGGGTTGTGCTATGGCTTGCATCCAAAGTGCCCCCCGAAGGATCATTTGTGGAAGGCAATAGTCAAAGACAGGGTCTCTGGGAGGTGACTGGATCATGAGGGCTGCAGAATCCTCAATGGAGTAATACATTTAATGATTCATAGCTTAATGGGTTTGTGAGGGTTCTTTGCTGTGGAAGTACCACCCCATTAGCTTTTTTAAAAGAACTTTTAAAGAGCACAGGATAATTTGGGGAGGAAATTTTTATTTTTACTCTATGTATATGAGTGTTTCACCTGCGTACCATGTGAGCAGTGTCCTGGAGGCCAGGAGAGGCAAACAGATCCTCTAGAACTGGAGTTATAGACAGTTATGGCCTGCCATTTGAGTGCTGAGAACCAAACCTGGGTCCTCTGCTAGAGCCCCAAGTGCTCTTAACCTCTGAGCCATCTCTCCAGCCTCCCGAGATGCTTATTGTGTGTGTATTACTGGAGGTCAAGGCCAGGACCTTTTATAAACTAGACAGCCCCTCTCCCAAACAGTATCGCAGCCCTTAGAATGGCCTTCATGTGGGAACCTGACGTTCCTTCAGGACAGACTCAGGCATGTTTCCCAGGGTAACATCCCAGGAGTGGACTTCCTATTTCAACCAGGCTCATCTCATACTGGTGCTGTACACTTCTGTCACCTCTAACATATTAGTGTCTGTTGGCTTTTTTCACCGTAGACTCTCCATTTTCTCTGATCTAGTGCTTCCCATCAATTCCCCGGCTTCTCCCTGCACTTCCATTAATGGTTCAGTCATGAGTCAGTCTCACCATGAAGGATGCTAAAAGATCATTTCTTTCCCATTCCTGCTTTATTAAGTGACATTCTAGTGTAAAAAGCTTCCTTGCCCACTATTTCTGTCCTGTACACTCATCCATTTGTTTAGTATGAGTTTGAGCGTTCTTAGTTTGCTTACTGGAGTAAAATCTGCTGGTTACTTGTTCTATTATTGGGACAAAATACCCAAGGAAAAAAACTTTAAAAAAGTTTATTTTTGTCATGATTTTAAACTTCAGTCCACTGGTCCCACTTTGTGAGGACTTGTGTTGAGGCAGAGTAGCATGAAGTAAGTTCATTTTAACATACATGTTTACTTCATGGTAGCCTGGAAGTAAGTATATGTTGTTGTCAACTTGATAGCAATAAAAGCTATCTGTTAGGTCTCAGGGTATCCATATAACCAGAAATGAGCTCAAGCTGGACCATAGAAGGATTTCTGGAGTTAGGTTTAAAAACCATCCACTGTCCAGGTGTCTATTATGTACTACCAAGCCTTCCAGTATGAAACCGGCCTTCCCAAATCCCTTTTTGGCTCTGTCCCCCTAGAGATCACTGACTAATAAAAATAGAAGGTAAGCCCCCAAAGACCTACTTTCTTCCCCTGGGCCCCACCTCCCAATAGCTCATGCCACTGAATTTATCAGATTCTTCTGTATAAGTTTAGAGCCCTATGGCTCAGTTGCCTCTGAGCACTGGGGTCAAGCCTTCAGCACATGACCTTTGAGAGACATTTTTCATCCAAACAGTAGCATCTGCAAATAGCATTCTGTTTTGCTGCTAAAAGTGTTTCAGGTTTGGCTAGTCGCAGTCCCTTTTTGAGTTGTTTCCCAGCCCTCTGATGTCAAATGGTTCTTTCTGTTTCCTGTGCCACAAAATAGTTCAGCATTATTATGCACCTTCACTTTTCCAGCCCCGAACATGTGTTTGTTTACAGGCACACACACCTATGTACCCGTGCTTCCAAGTACATACATACAGCCATTTTTATGTCTGTACCTACATACCCAAAACAGGATTATATAATACCTTCATTCCTCTTCCAGAGGACTAGAATTATGTTCCCAGCACCCACATTAGTCAGTATACAACAGCTGTATATGTATATGATTTCAGGGTTAATTTCTTGGCATTGGTTAACCAATTGGGATCCAACATGTCCTCTGGAAAAGCAGCAAGAATTTATTATTATTATTATTATTATTATTATTATTATTTCATTAAAGGCATGCTCCACCACTGTGAGATGAGAAACTGCCCCCCCTTTTAAGATTTATTTATGATTGTATACAGTGTTGTTTGTATGTATGCCCGCACACCAGAAGAGGGCACCAGCTCTCATTATAGATGGTTGTGAGCCACTATGTGGTTGCTGGGAATTGAACTCAGGGCCTTTGGAAGAGCCATCTCTCTCTCTTTCAGGGTTTCACTTACTTTGATGTTATTAAAACTTAGCAGCATCAAGAGCGTTGATTTGCTATGTAGGGGAAATGGGTTGCATTTGCTATTTTGCATATTTATAGTTTATATGATGTAATTCCATGGGGAGAGAAATAAAGTGGAAAGAGAAGAAAAAAAAAATACCTTGCCTTGTGTGGTGGCTTGAATGAGAATGGTCCCCTATTCAAAAGGCTCAGGAGGTTGGCTTTGCTGAAGGCAGTGTGTCACGGGTGGGCTTTGAGGTTTCCAAGCATTTCTCCCTGCCAGACCCAGATGTAGAGCTCTCAGTTACCTGCCTGTGCTGCCATGGCCCCCTGCCACGGTGGCAATGTACTAAACCTCTGACACCGTAAGCCAGCTCAAAGGACAGGCTTCCCTTTATAAAAGTTGTTTTGGTGGCCATGGTCTCTTCACAGCAACAGAGCTCTAAGACACCTTGTTTGCTTTGTTGCCCTTTGCCTCTGAAGTGCTATAACCCACATCCACACCTATGCAGAGCAAAGTCTTAAACAGAGGACTTTGCATTTGTTTATTCACTCAGTACCTACCGCATAAAGCAAGGCATTTTCAAGGACACTGGTGAATCAAAAACACCAAGTAACACAAAAGTAGGCATGTTTAAAACACTTTCCTGTAGGCTTCTAATGACAATGGTAGCTTTTGTGTTGGTGGACGCTAGTGGTTTGTTATATTCCAGAAAGCTTTTTACCTGAATCACAAAGATGTTAGATCAATGAACGGCTACAGACTAAGAAATGTTGCCCAAGATGACTTGTCTCTGGATCTGCAAAATCCCACCATAGTTGTAAATCATCCATCTGTACTTTTTTTTCATAAAACTTATGCCCATGTGTCTGTGCACATGAACACAAGTGCTTGCTGAGGCCAGAGGTCCCATGGAGATGGAAATACAGGCACTGTGAGCAGCCAGGTGTGGATGCTGGGAATCCAACTCGGGTCTTGTGGAAGAGCACTCTTACCTGCTGATCCATCTGTCCAGCTCCTCTCCAGCAAACTTTTACTGAAAACTACACACAAGTATTTCGGCCTTAAAGGGGGTGTGGGTTACACAACAAATATAACTTTGACTCTGGCGTGCTTGTTTGCTTGTTTGTTTTGGCGGTCGCCCTACAGGCCGGGGGGCGGGGCCCGGCCGCGCGTTGACACCACTCGCGATCAGTCCATCCTCCGCCCGCCCGCCCGCCGTTCTCGTCCCCGGCCCCGGCGAGTGGGCGGGATCGGGGGTGAGGAGGGCGCGCGCCATCGCGCCCCGCCCGCACTCTCTCTCTCTCTCTCTCTCTCTCTCTGTTTCTCTCTCGGCACAAACTGTCTCTGCACGGTCGCCCCAGGCGAGGGAGAGCCGGAGCGCGCGCGGAGATGACGTCAGGCACCGCCCCGCCCCCGGCCCCTCCCACTCCCCCATCCACACACACCCACGCACGCACGGGCGACGCCTCGGGTGGAGGAGGCGGGCCTCGCGCGCACCGTGATGACGTCGGGTCCCGCCCGTCCGGGGAGCGGAGCGCAGCGGAGCGGAGCGCTGGCGCCCGCCGTCCCCGTCCCCCTCAGAGGGGCGCTGGCGCGCGGGGCAGAGCGACCTGTTATCTGCTGGAGGAGCGAGCTGCGCGGCTGGCGATGAGCGGCGCCGCGGACGAGGAGGGCGGCCCGGGGGCCGGGGCTGGCCGGGCCGGGGCCCGCTCTGAGCCCGAGGCCCCGGGCAGCGCGCTCAGTGTGGACTTGCAGGGGCTGCTGGGGCAGCTGGCGCGCAGCTTCGCGCTGCTGCTGCCGGTGTACGCCCTGGGCTACCTGGGGATGAGCTTCAGCTGGGTGCTGCTGGCGCTCGGGCTGCTCGCCTGGTGCCGCCGGAGCCGCGGCCTCAAGGCCAGCCGCCTGTGCCGCGCGCTGGAGCTCCTGGAGGACGAGGAGCGAGCCGTGCGCCTGGGGGTGCGCGCCTGCGATCTGCCCGCCTGGGTGAGTGTCGTCCCCGAACCCGAGTGCGGGCAGGGCCGCGACACCCTTCTCCCCCACCTCCTCGGTGACGGGGGTGGTGGGGACTCAAGCTTCAGCCCCAGTGAGGCGTCCGCACCGCTTGCCCCAAATCTCGGCCGGATCCCGGAGTCCGCACAACCTGGACCGGGACCAAGTCAGATGTGGATCTGACTCCCGTCTGCCTCCCCCCCCCACCCCCCTGCGGTCTACCTACCTAAACTGGGTGACTACGCCCTTGACAGCGTTCTCCGCCCACCCGCTTTCCTCCGGGGTCCGGACCACCCTGGCCCCGAGCGAGGGCCCGCATCTGGGTCCCACTCGCTCTCAGCGCACCCGCCTCCCCCTCCTAAGTCTGTCTGGTGTCTTCGCGGCTGTCCCCGCCCTCATCGAGGGCGAGGTGTCCTGGTCATCTGCTGCTCCGAGAATGTCCATGCTCCCCGCCTCCTCAACCCATAAGTGCGCAGGTAGTGAATACTTCCTAACTTGGCAGGATCGGTCTTCGCCCGTTGCTGGGCCTTTTTCTTCCCCTCACGATGGCCAGCGGTGGCTACCGCCCTGAAGCGTACCTTAAAGGGCCGTGAGCGATGTTATCTGCTGTCCCGAGCCGACTGATTCTGTAAACCTTTGGCCAGCGCGGCGCTGCTGGTCTGGAACCGTCCAGATTGTCTTTTCTGTTTTTAGAAAGTAGCGACAGTCCAAGGTGGAAAGAAGTTAATCCTAAACTCAAGAAGACTCGTTCATTTCTTTGTTGTGCCTGACACCGTTGGAATGTTCCTGGAAAGCTTATCTTAGAATAACTTAAGTCTTTGTTTCATTTTTTTTTTTTAATACCAGATGTAAGAGTAAGCACTTTTATATGGTTGTTCCAGAGCCAGTGTGGACATATGAACAGTAATGATGTTGCGGTTTTAGTTTGTTTTTCTTAAAGGCGCTACTTAATGGGTATTTGAACCTATCGGAGCTGGCATTATCTTTTTCTCCTCACTCTTTCTTAGCAAGGAGTTAGTGCGACAGTTTCAGATAGACGGAAATAGTGCATATTTCAAGTGAATGATGCTCACGTTAGGCTTGATGTGATTGTCGGTGTGGAAGCAGACAGTGGTGAGTTTTAGCAGGGAGGGAGAGGGGCATTCGGTGGAGAAAGAGCTTGGAGACGGTTCCCCCTTTCCAGCTAGGAAACACTTGAGAAATGTGCCATGCATGAGAATGCATGGTACAAATACACAAAAACAAAAAATTTAAAAGTAGGGGTTCCCAGATTCAAGAGGATCATAATAGGCAGCACTTTGTGATGACAAATAGCAATTGAAGTAAGAACTATAATAAATTTCTTCGGATACGTGGTGAATGTGTAGGACAGTAGTGTCTCGGAAAGTGAAAGTAACTGGTATGGTACAACTTTTAGCTATCAGTTAAAGGAATGTATTAAAAACAGGAAGCTGGAGTGGCCAAGGTGAGAAAAAACAGACTGTTCACTTTGGATTAGGAATGCTGTAGTGGTATGTTGTCTCTGCTGCACTGAATTAAATGCTGTCAGAAAGCTTGTGAAAATCAAAGTAGTTAAACGACCAAACAACAGCATAAATAGGACTGGAATCTTAGGAGCAGGGTGGTGCCAACTTTCAGAAATATTTGATTGTTGAGCAACTGACACAAAGTAGTTTTTAAAACACGTTTGCAAAATGCAAGTATTTCCACAAAGGAAATAAAATACAGTTGCTGCCATAATGAATTAAATTTAATGAAATAAAAATGTAATTGGCCATTTTTAAAAAAAAAAAAAATGTTTTCTCTTTGCAGCCACACTTCTTAGGGCTTCTAGCATAATAGTAAAGTGGTGCACCACTGACCTACACTGACAACCCTGCATATTTTTGTTTCCATTTGGTTGTTTGGAGACAAGGTCTTACTTTGTGGCCAAGGTTGGTCATCCTGCCTCAGCCACTGAGTGGTGGGATATCAGGTATGTGCTTAATGGGCTTACCTGGTTTCTGGATATTGGGGTGATATTTTGTCTTGATCAAGATGAACATGCCAAGGACTATACAAGTTTTAAGTGCCGTTGGTGATATGATTCATAGTGGAATGGAAACATGAGAAAATATGAGCTAGTCTGCTATCAACTCCCTATTCTCGTCGTTAGATAAACTGACCCACAGTGTTTTATTTAGCAAAATGAACATTTAAGCTGGGCAGAGGGACAGTGCTGCATTTGTGTTTTTACTTGAAAATGCACAGCTCAGTCAAGTGTGATTTTTCTCCTGCTGCCAGTAGATACTGATGTCATGACTGCAAGTGTGTAGAAACATCAACCTGTTATGTACAGTGTTGCTTAACTTGGTGGAAGTTGTTCTTTTTAGATATTCAGATAACCGGGGATTGAAACAGCCTGTTTCTTTGGGTATGTTCTTCCATACTATTTTGTGCATCTTGGGGGGGGGGTTGGGAGGGGCAGCTTTCTTCCCAGTGTTCTTCTGGAAGTTAAGGAGAATGTAACTCTCATCAACATATAATACCATCTAAGAACAAAATAAATCTAAAGGTGCATGGTAGTCTCACAGAGAGGAAGAATAACAGTTGGCTTTTTCGGTGCATTCAGAAAGTTTTGTGAGACTTGTGTCAGATTGGTGTAGAAGTTGGTTATTTTAACTGGAGCCCTTTCTCTGTGCAGATGAGATGAGCTGAGCTGCAGGTGTTGCCAAGTCTCTTCACATCCACACCTGGTTATGCGTAGGTAGTACAGCTGTGCCAGTTACCTTGCCATATGTGTTCTCCGTGTTCCAGTAGCCGAGAACATAGTGTCCTGAAGTTTCTTAAAACAATCAGTAAATGCCTTGGTTGTTGTTTACTTCAGTAAATTTAAATTTACCACATACTTATCCATCAGTCCCTATGTTCAGGCTTCAGTTATATTTGTATTACAGATTAATATTGTGCTCATTTTAATTTTAAAGATAGGACCTAGATCAGATATGAGTACTTTGTAGATATGAGTAACGTACTATATGAAATACATCTGTAAATCTAGCCTGTAGCTTGGTTTGTGTACCTGTAATTTTACAATGTACTATGTGTGACCTCTTGCATTTGGCTAACAGTTTATCAAAGCAGCTCTCTTAATTTCCATAACAATTCTGTCCCAGAGGAACTTTATCGTACTGTTAACGATGAATTGTAAAAAGTCGCCCTGTCTTCACATCTATATCCCTTCCAGGTATATGTGACTGACAAACTGGTCAGTAGGCTGATGATAGCCTCTGGTAGCATGTGATTTATAGAAAGAACCGGGGAACGTTTTTTGTTTTTTGGTTTTTTTTGGTTAGGGGAGTGGGTGTGAGAATGTATGAGTGTGGAATTTGATGTGAACAGTAACAATAATGGCATCTTCTGTAAGACAGAAGCCCCAGGAGTCCAGGAAAGCAGCAGTGGAGAACGGAAGTTGTATTTCTGGGCCACCTTCTTTGGAGGAACTCTGCTGAGATGTATGTAGTAGTAGTTTCTCCTCAGCCAGCAGCCGGCAAATAGTGACACAGACTTAATAATTAATTATGAAAGCTCTGCCTATATGTCTGTCTCCCCCCATGCCTCCTTGGCGTCTCCTGTGCGTCTAGATTCCTCATCCTCTTCCTTTCTCTCCCCAGGAATCCTGCCTGTACCTCAGCTTTCTATTGTACCAACCACAGCAATACATTTTCACACAGTGTACAATATCCCAGGGTTATGTATTAAATCCTAAGTTCTTCATACGATAGAAAGTGGAACAGTAGACCAAGCAGTAACGACAACCAGCATTGATCCCACTGGACCCTCCCAGGCTCTTAGGAGTGAGGAGCCCAAGCGCTTCCCGTGGGCCTGCCCTGACTCTTACAGCAGGAGCAGACGCGCTCCCACTGAACTCCACAACGGCTCTAAGAAATGGAGAGGAGAGGTATTCCTTCCTCGGACATTTCTGGCAATTTGCAGATACCTGATCAAAAACAATCCCACATTCTATATACACATAGAGCTTGGGCATAGCAGAGCAGGAGAAACAGTGTGGTCCACCGTGCCTGGCTTAAGATGCTACAAATGCAAGGACAAGAGCTACCCATAGATTTCTAAAAGCTCACCCGAATTAATCCAAAACATAAGCAGACACATAATGAGAAAAATCTGGGACAGGGAGGCAAGGGTGTCTGTGGGCTATTTGGGATGCTTCCAGTTTGAAGAGCTGGTTGATTGCTGTATCTGTGTAATAGTTGCTAGTCTAAATTGTCACACACACCCCTTCTATAAGTTAAAAAAGATTAACACCTGCCAATGAAGAACTAGCTTCTACCTTTGAAACTCACTTCCCAAAGGGCTAGATTCTTCCATCACTACTAGGATTGGCAAGAGGACATTCATTCAAAGTGCTAAAAATCCCTTGTAATGCCCACAGAGACTTAGGCCTTGCTTATCCTATGTGTCACATAGTGATTACATGAACTTTTATAGCCTCAGAGTAAATATAGACTTAAATCAACATATTCACCAAATATATGTAGTAAACAGGTTAAAACAAAGTGATCACAATAGTTGAAAGACTGTTGGAGATGGAGAGGTGGGTTATTAATGGCTCCTCAGCAGATTAAAGACACATGTAGGTGATTTATGCTCTCAATGTACAGTATTCCTCGTTCAGGAAGTTAGAATCAGCCCATCAGCCCGCAGAACCTTTAGCACAAATGTATGCTTTGTTTTTCAGAGGACATGGCTTTTACCTCTCCTCCCACATTTTTTGCTCTCCCTGCATCCAGCTGCTGACTCATTTCTTTCTCCCAGAGCTCTCTGTCCCCAGAAGTCACCTAACCTCTTCCTGCCTAGGTAATGGCCCTTCATCTCTTTATTAAACAATCACAGTGACACATCTTCACACAGTGCAAAGGAACATTCCACATTTCCCCCTTTTTGTCTAAATAAAAAAGAAAGGTTTTTACTCTTAACATAATAAAACTGTAGAT